AGAGCATTCAAAACGCCCCCCCCCCCCCCCCCCCCCCTCCCCTCCGCCCGCACCAACACGTCCACAGCCCCGGCGCCATGTTCGACAAGCTGCAGGCCCTCGTCAAGCTGGACGACTGCACCTACGGGCCGGCGTCGGACCCGATGAAGTACGAGCTGTACGCGTGCGGCCCCGTCGACGGCAACCAGGAAGGTTCGTACCTCACCATGCTCTCCCGCGAGGGCTTCATCTTCGGCATCATCAACATCGTCGGCAACTTCGGGACCGTGTTCGTCGACCAATCGTACTGGCAATCCGCCATCGCCGCCAAGCCCCAGTCTTCCCACAAGGGCTACCTCCTCGGCGGCATGTGCTGGTTCACGTGAGTTGTGGCTTCGTACGCGTCTTGTAGTGGTGTTTATTTCCGCCTGTTTTCTAGCTGTCAAGGCTAGGCAGAGGAGAGTTTTCCTTATGGGATGCTTTCCTTCCTGCCTTGAGTTGTGTATCTCGACAAACATTCAGGCGTGTTCCGTTTCCGCGTCGATGAGCGAATTTTTTTTTTGCGTCCTGTTGGACTGATCGCTGAACGCAGTGTTTGCTTCACACCCGATGGCTCCTATCCTTTGGGAACGAAGGCATCATCTCACATAAACCGTCCTGTCCTTGTCTCGTTGTCTTCTCCCCACCCACCCGAAAAACAACCCCCCAAAAAAACAGCATCCCCTTTGCGCTGGCCACCTCCCTGGGCCTGGCGGCGCTCGCCATGCAGCTCCCGCTCACCGGCGACGAGGCCGGCTCGGGCCTCGTGCCCCCGGCCACCGCCCTGTTCGTGCTCGGCAAGGGCGGCGCGACCCTCATCCTCATCATGCTCTTCATGGCGGTGACCTCTACCGGCTCCGCCGAGCTGATCGCGGTTTCCTCGCTCATCTCGTACGACGTGTACCGCGCGTACATCAAGAAGGACGCCACGGGCGACGAGATCCTCAAGGTGTCCCGCATCACTGTGTTCGTGTTCGGCGCCCTCATGGGCGTGCTCTCCATCGTGCTCAACGAGATGGGCCTCAACCTCGGCTGGGTGTACTTGTTCATGGGCGTTGTCATCGGCTCCGCCGTTGTGCCCGTCTCCATGGTGCTCACCTGGAAGAAGGCCACCGCTAAGGTAAGGGGGAGGGGAGGAGGGACCGACAAGGCCGTTCCGAGGGTTTCGTGCTGATCCGTAATCCGTATGTATTTGCAGCCCTCGGCTACACTAAAATGGACGTTTCGCGCGCCGTTTAATAATTAGCCCCCACCAGATCCGTACTCTTGATTTTTATGCTACCGCCCACTCTGTGTGTACCCTTCCGGCCTTCCATGATTTATGAATAAACAGGGCGCCATCGCCGGAGCCATCCTCGGCCAGATCTGCGCCATCATCGGCTGGCTCGTGTCGGCCCAGGCACTGGAGGGCGAGATCACGATCGACAGCACGGGGCAGAACTACCCCATGCTCACCGGTACGTATTCATCCACGCGCTGCTTTTCTCTTGCTTGCTTGCTCTCCGAAACCGAACGTGTGTTGTGCTTCCGTGTGCCGCTCTTGTTTTGTTGGCCCTTGACACCGTCCCCTTCCACTGCTGTGGTTGTTGTATCTCGAACGGTTGGTTATATATAGTATAGTCTTGCCTGTGCTTTTTTTTATGTACTTGTATATTTGGACAATACGTGCTGAAACCCGGGTGACACCAACGACCACAGGTAACCTGATCGCGATCTGCTTCAGCGGCATCGTGTGCATCGCCGTCTCCCTCGCCGACCCGGACGACTACGACTGGGAGTCGACCCGGAACATCGCCATGGTGGAGACCTACGACAACGCGTGGCACACGGAGGCGGACTACAACGACGTGGATCTCTCCAAGGCCAAGAACTGGATCATAAAGGTCGGCCTCTCGTTCACCGTCGTGATCGTGATCCTCTGGCCCGTCCTCTCTCTGCCCGCTGGAGTCTTCTCGGAGGGATACTTCGACTTCTGGGTGGCGCTCTCCATCCTCTGGGGCCTCGTCGCCACCATGTTCGTCGTGTTCCTCCCTCTCTACGAGTCCAAGGACGCGATCGTCAGCGTCTTCAAGGGCATGTGCGGCCAGGCCCCCGCCGGCAAGACCGTGCAGCAGTCCTCCCAGCAGTGAGTGTGTGGGGGGGTACTCATGGTCATCGTGCATGCCGTAGTCGTTAGACCCTTGACCTCGCATCCCTTCAAAAGCCGGGACGGAGCACGCCGCGTTCTCACCGGACCAGCCTCACGGGGGGGGGGGGGGGGGGGAAAAACCTCGGTTTGGAACACAAAAAAGGTTACACGCTTTGGGCCAGCAT